TAGAGTTGCGTAATATCGATCAAATCTTTTGTCACGGAAGATTCATCTAATATATATCATCATATATTGTGATGTTCTAGAAATACATTCCAATCTAAGCTATCTGAAGCCAATGAGGCTTCAGCCAACCAGGTTAAACCAATCAGGTGGATTTGTTTCCAAAGTTAGTTTTCAGTACAAAAATCCCTTGTTGTGTTTTTGCAAACCCTGTCGCAGATAGATACAAAACGGAAGACCCTCTTTAAGACATACTTGAAAAATTGTATCCTGTAACTTCACAGCTCTGAATCCTGGAACTTTTAAAGTGACAAGCATAAAACGGTAACAGGGAAAATCAGACCCCTCTCTGTACCAGAAGTCTGTCATTTAAAACACTGCTGAGCTACCTACTGAAATGGATTCAGTCACCTAGATCTAGAGACATCCTGAGTGGAGCACGTCCGATATTTGAGTCTTCCAAAATTATTGGATGATATTTGCAGTTACATCATTTTGGAGCAATTTTTTTTTTTGTTATTTGTTTATAATAAATTTGTGTCATTTCAGCGTTTATCCTGCAGAGGGCGCTGCTTACAATACTGTGACAAGCAGTGCAGAACAAGAAAGAAGTTCTCATCAATGACTATCCTGAGTCATTTAACGTAAGGGACAAAAACATGAGCTACAGCAGTAAAATACAGCTAGTGTCAAGAAATACAACAGCCACTTGACAGATGGTTAAAACTATAACCCAACACAAAAATGACAATTATTAACATAAGCAACCATGACCTGGACAGACACATTACAAACAGCAAACCTCACAAACTACTCAGTTCAGCTCTACACAGGGCATGATGGAAATGTCTCGCTACACTACTGTAGCAGAGTACAACAAATTTAAGCAGACGGTGGTGCAGACCAAGTTGCTAACAAGTTTGTGAATACATTGCTGGATAATTAAACAATTAACCCATCATTTTCCCTTTTTAATATAACTAATGTAACCCTGTCCCTGACAACCGTCATGTCACTAATGCTTATCACATCTGTCTGCTGTGTTAGCGAGGCAGCTAACCAGTTTGTCAGTACAGTAAGGTACCATGTTGAAAGGTAAGCATCAGAGCATCATTCAGCAGCTCAGCAGAAGACAGTGTGGTGGTTTGAGTCTGTTGAATGTTGACTTCACGTTAAGTTGTTCCCTAGTTGGTGAAATGAGATCGGTTTAAAAAGGAGTCATGTCCTGTATCTGCGTCACATGGGTTTCGTCTCTGCCTCGCCCCTTTAGGAGACTGGTGGTGGGTCCTGAGTAGATTCGCTCCATTGGGAGATGTGAACACGAGCGCCAGATTACGACAGATTCTTTCACCCATAAGTCAAAGTAGTAAATATTAGGCCCGTTTTTCACAAGCCACATATCCTCCAAACATTCTGACACTAAATATAACCCCTTTAAAATGACAACCACTGCCAACGACCAAGCACATCTGCGGTCGCTAATTAATGTTAATTACATGAGTAACTTGATGACAACATTAAACCTGTCTGTTGTTGGGTTTGTTTGCCATCTGCACCGGTGTCGGTGCACTCAGCCAAAAATCTTTTGTGTGGGATGAAAGTCCACTCTGTAACCACACGGTATAAACTCAAGTAGTGCTGAAACGATTCATCGATTCATTTGATTACTAAAAAGCATTGACGCAAAATTCTTTGTATTCTTCGCCAAGCAAAAGTACTTCTTAAACAATGCATCGATGAAATAATCTGTAGAAGCTTTGAGTACTAAAATCATTGTTAGCTGCAGCCCTAAACTCAAGTGTACTGCAATTCTGGAAAGTGATACGTCTTCGCTGGTTTCATACACATGACACGTCTACCTCCAGTTAAACAGTCTGGTCATATAAATAATTTAAGCTTATAAATGCATCATTTTGATACCTAATATTAAGATGGGTGTATTTATGTACTGAAGACTTGCCTAGGTTTTATTACAAAGGACACAGCCGGCTCCTTTTTTTTTTCTTTTTTGTTAAATAAAAACTGGTGTTTCTTCTTCCACAAAATCATCTCTGGCCAAGTGTAAATGTACAGACAGGAGCGAGCATATTAACCAGGCAACAGCCGAGATTTCATTTTTGTTTCGTGGCCCACTCAACAAATTAATGTTAATTAACTAGCTCAGTAATTTTTCAGGTAGCAATTGCCAGACTTTCTCTTGTTACATTTCACTCTTAAATTGCAATTTTGATATGAAATGATAAATCCTTCAGCCGTAGTCTTGCCATATTGCACAAACCTACAAACACACAATGCTGCAAATGTCACACAGTGGAACTCACATCTTTTCCGGCTGGAGCATCCTGAAGGGTGCAAAGGGGGGTCTTCGCTGAATGCCTGGCAGCTTCTCTTTGGCTGGTTTGAGGAGTTTGGGATTGGAGGAGGACGTTGAGGAGGAGGATAAGCTGGCTCCAGCGGTGGAAGGTCGGCCAAGGATGCCTCCACTCGCCACTCCAGCTACAGACCCCGAGCCCAGGCCAGGCCCGCTGCCGCTGCTCCGGTTCCTGCCCGGCACGGGGAAGGGCGAGGTGGAGGCTGGCTTGATGGCCGAACTGTGTCTTCTCTCTGTGACAGAGAGTGACAGTATAAACCAGGCGGGCGTTAAAACATAACACTAAACTGATGATCAGAATTAAGCATCACAAAGCTTTGATCCTTATAACAGAGTAGTCTATACGTGTAAATGTGGCAATAACTGAAAAGAGACAAGACACATGGGAACATAGAAATCTTCCTCTGACAGAAGTGAGCAGGTTACCTCAACAACAAAAAAGCAGCATTTGTGATTCATGCCAACTCTGCCTGAAATAGAACCAGCCAACAGGTCAAGAGCTTCATTTCCTGCCTGTGCTAGTGTGCATACTGATAAAAGGCAGTACGACAGCAGAAAAGGTTAGGATGATACTCCGTTATGGATGGAAACACAAAAAATAGGAGAAAAAAAGAAAAATCACTAAGTGCTTGCATCCAAAACTAAATGTCTTTTCCTTTGACAAAATTTCAAGCACACACAGTTTCCAAACATCTTCGAACATTGGTCTCCTGCATGTGGACCCACAAGCACAGCACGGTTTGGGCTTTCAAACGAAGCTCTCATCACTTGCTATTTTTAGCAACAGCAGACAACAATAAAATGGCACACTCAAAATAATTCCATTGAAATTTCCACTACTGAAGAAGATTGTGGGTTCAAACCATGGTTGCCCCGGCCTTGCAAAGACATGCAGGCTATATTAATAGGTGCCTCTAAAATTATCCTTTAGGTGTGAATGTGAGTGTAGTGGTTGTTTGTCTATGTGTGGCCCTGCGATGGAATGGCGACCTGTCTAGGGTGTACCCCGCCTTTCACCCAATGTCAGCTGGGAGCCCCCGTGACCCTGTACGTAGGATAAAAGATTGACAGATTTCCACTACTGTTCCTTAACATAGACTCAATTCATAGAGTCCTGAATTACCAAAGAACAACACAAGGCCGAAACACAGTATCTAGCTTGAGTATGTCACTGTGCTCCTGAGGGCACTTCGAGGACTGTCTGCACTTCGGTGTAAAGCTTTGTTTATGCTCAACAGTGTTCCCGGCGCCAGGGTGCGCGCCTCTTGCGTCAAGCACGTAGGCTCCACAAAGTTGTTGCGGCGCATGGTAGTGCACCTCCCAGATCCTGGAGTTTCGGAGAATATTGCATATCACCCATTTATTTTGAAAGAGCTCTCCGACTCGCACAGACTCTAAGAGCGAAAGAGAGACAAATACAGAGGTGTCTGCGATGAGCAAAAGGCGACTGAAGGTTAACGTGACCCTCTTGTTGTCAACACTTTGGCACATGGGCAAAACAGCAAATAATGAGGAGGAAAAACCTACTAACAAACATGAAGTGAATGTAAGAGGATACAGCTTTAGGAGGATGAACAGGTTTTGATTAAAAAACGAAAACCTGTTTGTGCTCTTTGTCGGCATCCATGGTGAGGTGTGGGCCTGGTTAGCTAACCTTTTACTGGGATAACCCTATGGTGTAGCTGGGAACTGGGCCGTGGGCCAAAGCTCAGTCTCAGCAGGTGATCTGCAAATACAATTGTTGCTGCAGAAACAGTCGAGGGGTTACTAACACACATGCACGCCCAGAGGTGCCACTCCCGATCTCCATCAGCCCCTGCACACACACCCACCCACCAATTAAACTGTATGGGCTTAGTCCAACTTTTTCGGGGAGGAAAAAAAAGAAGCTTTTAAGAGTGCCCTCTCTACACGCCCATTCAAAACAAACTCCAGGTGTCTTCCCTCCCTCCACTTAGCAGCCTTTCTTTCACTCCCTCCCCTCCTACCCCAGCTGTCTTGTCCCAGTCGCAGTCAACAGCACACCCTGCACACAAACTCACACCAGGAAACCCCAGCTAACATTACTAACACTGAGAAAAGAGCCAACACCAGCGGCAAAGGAAGAGGAATAAAAAAAAGACACAAGGAATAGGAGGAGCCTTAATATCCTATTTCACACTATCAAACTGTTGGCACAGTCCTAAGGGAAATCCTTGGCTGTAGGGGTGGGAGAAATACACCAAGTGTGACGGCCTCACGACCATTTCCACAAGCACCATGTTCAAGCCCTAAGCATGGCCTGGCCTCGGTACACTATTTCTATAACAATAATCACCCTTCTGTTTTAGTAAAAATAATAAATACACTGCTATCTAAGCTCAAGGTGCATTCTCCACTTGTGCGCTTACTCAGCCAAGGCATTGCGTTAAAGGCTTTGTTGGACAAGTTCACAAATGAATGCATAAAACGGCAGCCTCCAGTTCTGCAGTGAGCGTCGCCTCCTGCTGGGATCAGCCTCAGCCGAGAAGCACAGACACCTAACGGGAGACAGATGGGCTCAAAGAAGCATGCAGAAATCATATTGAGACCATCTCGTCGGTGCCGAGATCAGTGCCTTTGCCCAGTGTTAATGCCACATGGGGTCTTCCTATAAGGACATCAGAAGGAGGAAGACGGGAAGGAAAATCACAGCAAGAGCACTCCCACCCTCTCACG